AACAACTGGACTTTGGTTTCTACCTGGTTCCAGTGACTGCGTTCTCTCTGCAGGACTCTCGTTTTCCTCAGCAGCTTCCTCCTCCTCCTCCTCTTCGTCCTCTTCTTCCTCCTGACTTTCCACTTCTTCGTCCTCCAGATCCTCTCCGTCCTCTGCGATCACCTCCATCCCCTCGATGTCGCTCTCCTCTGCAGACATCCTGCAGATGATGAGAATTGCATTTAAATTTCCTACTAAAAATAAGTCTTTGGCCGACATTTCACCAACTTTGAAGGCCTGTAACATCAGTAGAACTTCATGTATGATAGGTTAATGTATGGAAACATTCAGTGAGGCATTAGGAGTCTCAGATGCAATATGCATATGAAAACTTCAACATGAAGACAACTCCGCCGACAAGCTTGCACATATATGACAATAACCAGAGCCCTACATACACCAGTTTATTGAGTCCACATCACCATTTGGTCATAACAGCAAATATTAATTGTTTTTACCAAATATTCCTTTTTTTTTTTGGAGATACTAAACCCCTATAGTGGTTTCCCAGGTAAGACATATTTAGGGGAAAAACACAAAAGTTCCCATGTCTGAAAACAGATGAAATTCTCCAAATTAAGCCAAAATACTATAAAGAAGTTTGCTTTGCGTACCAAGTAACAGTAACCGAGTAAGATCTGAGATGGTGGACCAACACCACTGATATTCGGTTGGAAGTTTTCCCTCTTTGCTGATTTGAGGAACTCACCCCGCCTCCTCCTCCTCCTCCTCCTCCTCCTCCATCTCCTCTGCAGCTTCAGGTTTGGAGCCGCTAACAGGAGTCGGCTCATCTTTAGACTCTGGAAGACCAAAATCATCACGCAGATGTAAGGATAAGATCAGTCAGCCTTCACGAGCCAGTCATGCCCACATTCTCCACCAAAAGCTAAACGTTCTGTCCAGCGGGCAGGAGGACCAACTCATCTGGGCTAAATGTGTCAGTCTGGTCACATAAACAATCAAAGAAATGTTGATTTTTTTTTTTCCTGGTTTTGTTCATTTAACTACATGATTCCTCTCTCTCCTTCTAGCCGTGGTTGAGCTCGGTCAGGTTACCTGGTTCCACCATCTTTTCCCTGGACGGTCCGGTGCTGGACTCATCCCTGGACCTGGACGCAGACCCGGTCCCTTTCTCTCTGCTGGTCTTCTCTCTGGATTTGGATCTGCTCTTTTTCTCTCTGTCCGACTTTTCCCTGGACTTAGATCTGATCTCTCTGCTGGACTTTGTTCTTGATTTATCACTGGACATGGACCTGGACCTGGACCTTGTTCTAGTGTTTCGGCTGGATCTAGACCTGTTGTTCCTAGAGGACCTGCTGCTGGATTTGTCTCTGGATCTGGATCTAGTCTTCCGGTGTCTGCTGGATCTTTCTTTAGATTTATCTCTGGATCTGGACTTGGTTCTGATCTGTCTGTCTCTTGATCTGGACCTGCTCTTGCGGTCTCTGTTGGACTCGCTCCTCGTCCTCTTGGTCCCTGACTTCTGGTTTTTCTCTGGACTTGAACTCCTCTTGGCTGAAGTGGGTTCCTCCTCGTACTTCTTTGCAGATGGAATGTTCCTGTAGGACAGAACACACCAGAACCACCAATAATCAGAAATCTGTGGACAGGAATGAGCTGATGGATTTCCCACTGGGTCGGTTTGCTCACATGAGCCTCTTGTACTCTTCAGAGAACGAGACTTTGATAGAGTCCTTGTTGATCCTCAGAGTGTTTGTAGAATAATAATCGACCAGCTTCTGAGCGTCCACAACATTCCTCATCTCCACAAACGCCTGAAACACAAAAACAAACCAGCGTGAACCTGGATGCTGCTCATCACAGCATTTGAACATCGTTAGCAGCAGTAACAGTGGCTGCTGTGGTGGATCAGATGGTTAGAAAATGAAAGACATCATCAGGAGAACTATGTGGACAACAAGAGCTCTGCTTATCAGAGACTTGGGGTTAAATGTCATCCTCTGGCTGATCTAACATGTCGTTAAAACAGTGTCGCAGTATGTTTGAAAATAAAGCCGCCCCCCACCTGCTGTCGCTTCTGACTTAACTACAGATATATTTCACGAAGTCTGAACTCTAATTCAACAAATCTATTCAATTCAATTTTATTTGTATCGTGCAGTTTACAACATATGTCATCTCACAGCGCTCAACATAGTTAGGTGAAGACCTTACACATTTAAACTCCAACAATCCAAAGCTGCCGTTGCCATCTGGCAAGTGGTCGGCAACGGTGGGAAATCTGTAATCACATTCTGACCAGGTAGAACTCCAGGTTGGTCTACAGCATCAACCACAGCTGTGTTGCAGTTTCGTGTCATTTTGTGATCGTTTTGACTCTTTACGACCATTTTGCGTCTCTTGGCAGTTACAGTCGTGACTCAATAATCTGACCCTTAACAATCCGACAGGTTTTTAGGAAAAACAAACAGAACCTATGAAAAATAGCCTGAACATACCAACAGCCTTGGATTCCAACTCTGACATGAACTCAGAGGTTTTTGTGAAATCTGATTTCTTTGTGACTTCCTTCACGTTTCTAGTTCAATGCGACTTGTATGTGATCTGCTGTGTGAACTTCATACGACCCAAAAGTGTCCCGCATGCACAGAAGAGGACACGACGACGTCACACGCAGCGAGCGTGCTCAGTGTTTATGGAAGTAAACATGGATGGTAACGGTGGAGCGTATCTGCCACTCCCCCGCCGCCACCGATGGAGGAAACAGAAGTGTGAGCGCTAACTAAACTAGCATCAGCAGCCAAGTACTGCCTGTGTGTTCTGGACACTTCCACCCCGTCACCCCCGAATATTCAGATATTCATCATTAATTGGATCTGTGTTGTTCAGACTGTCATGAAAAGACCAGATACGGGTCACATAGGGGCAAAAAAAAAACAAAAAAAAAAAACAGATTGGTGTCACTTCAGCCTGTTGCCTGAATGCATTTACCTTTGATGTCAACCGACGGGCCGTGCACAAGCGCACCGGTCAGTTAGGCTGAAATCCAGGGATGCGTAGTGTTCTAATCATACACTAGTTACTATAACAACTATAGACAATTAATATCAACAACAAATGAGCCTTCCAGTATCAAGCCCTCCTTGTCTTGACAATCCGATATAAAAGAAGGTTTTACATTTAGTGTCGGATTATTGAGTCACGACTGTAGCTTGTATTTCTTTGCATTTTATGTCCCTTAGCAGTCATTTTGTCTTTTTGTGTATGTTTTGTGACTCTTTGCAGTTGAGTTTTTGTGTGTCTACAAAGTCAGTTTGTCCTTTTTGCAGCCATTGTGTGTCTCTTTGTGGTTGTTTTGTGTCTTCTTGTAGTCGTTTTGTGTGCTTACGTCTTAAAACTTCAGTGAAGGATCTGACATGTTCTACTGGACCGACTGAATCACAGATATCCGCTGGATGCTAAACGCTCCAACAGCTTCCAACCTCTCCTGCATCACTTGAGCTGTGTGCTTTGTTACCAGAGCGTTATCAGACTGAACTGTGCTGCAGGTTGATCTCACCACAGACGGCAGAAACAGCGTGTAGAGCGGCAGGCCGAAGCGCTTCACGATGCTGATCAGATCTGATCGGCCGTCTTCTCCTGCTGGAGCTGGACTGAAACTCACCACCTGACAGCTCTGAGGAGACAAAATGAAATTTGAGGAGGATGTTCAACAAGCAGGACACTGAAGCTGTGGCCACAAGCTGTGCACGAGGTGTCAAAGTGAAATAACGGCTCTGCAGTGCTCTCTGCTTAAAGCTGATCTGTGTCTGAGAAACAACAGATAAATGTTTAAAAGATGTCCGAAAAATATTACACTTGAAGATAGTATTGGAACCTTTTTGTTAATGTCAGAAAAATATTTGTAAAATATTTGACAGATGTCCAAAAATACTAATAAAATGTCTTAAAAATAAAGAAAACAATAATAAAATGTCTCAAAATAATAAAGAATGTAATACATTATTATAACATCAATAATACAAATAACCAATAATTTATGGTGTCATTTTGTCCTAAAGATGATAAATATTCCTAAAAATGTCAATGAAAAAAAGGATAGAAATATAATACACAAAAATATAAATGAAACGTCTGAAAGTTGATAATAGTCGACCTGAGCTGCACCGAGGAGCTCAGAATCGGTGTTCAATGAGTCACATAGAATAATTTTAATTACATTTCACAGTACTAAGCTGAGATCTGGTTCTTTATTGTGTTTTTTACATGTTACATAGCTTCTGGTTGCTCTTAGAGGTTTTAAGATTTATTGTGTTTCAGAAATTGATCTTACAAGCTGATGCCTTTTAGTTCTATTGTGTTTTCTGTCCTGCTGTGTGTCACACGACTGTCTGAAAGTTGATTTGTAAAGAAAGCGTTCCATCCACACTCATCCTCATTCATCTTAGTCAGCTCAGCGTCGGTGTTTCAGACATCATACCCAAAGGAAGCTGAAGGCGTTCGAGATGCTGAACTCAATCTGCTCTCCGTTCACAGTCGGCGGATAGTTGATGTGGAACTTCACCAAGTCCTTCGCCTGGTCGACGGTGCCCAGCTCCAGAAACGCCTGCAGGTTTACAGCAAAGCTTAACACAAAAAACAACAGCTGCTGCTCATCTCTAAACCGTCAAACAGCATCTTCATGAGTGAATGTGTCAAGATCACAAGCTGCTGAGTGAATCAGTGAAAGACAGCCAAGTACTATATGACAGTTTTAATAAAGATCAACAGACTTCCTCACAATCAGCTGATTCTTTAGTAACTTCTTTATATTTAATGAAGCCATGCAAAGTTCTACCTTCATACTCTGAATATTTCCAGTTACAGGCCCTTGAAGTTGAAATGTTGTTCTTCTTACTTTGCATGACTTTTTAAAAGCACTTCTAAGCCTTTACATGTACACAGGGCTCCCGGCAACTGAAACGGTCGCATCTGTGACCTTTTTTTTGTTTGTGTGTGAGTTGAAATTTCAACTGGTCGCATTGGTGCAAGTGCATGATGATCATGAAGCTGTATCAGTGTCTCTGTAACCTCTGTTGACCACAGTGGTGGAAGGCAGGACTTCTAGAACTTCATCAGTCCGTCTCTACACGGTGCTGCAGACAAGCTGTTCAGTTGATGTGTATTAAAAAGATAAAGTTCTGTGGAGCAGATTTTTTAAAAAGACAATGAGGGAAGAGGAGGCAGAGAGAGTAATTTCAAGCAATTCATTCAATAACAATGGCTGAGCCAACGCAGAATGAAACAGACATTAATGACAACAATGATTTCAGCTTTGCACTGTTCCATGAACACAA